TTTTTCTTTTACAAGATATTTATTTATTATAATGTAAGTTAGAGTCCTTTTGTTCAAATAATGTGATTGTGATATTCTCTCCATGAATACAGAAGATATGGTTGATCCAATGTTTAGGGTGGTACGATTCCTTTGATTCCTTTTATGATTCATTATTTATCATGATTCCCAAGCTTATTGTGACACGGTTCACTTGAATCATTGGTTGAATGCTCGAGAATAATTTTGCTGGCATTGATTAATTTTCTTAGGCCAAAGCATAAATATATACAATATGACTACAGGTCAAAGCCATATAAATTCCCCTCACATTTTAAGTCTTCTCCTAATAGGTTTGTGTGTCTACTGAGATGGAAGGTACGAATACTGATTTTATATATGATTTGTGCCGAGAGGGAACTTTGAATGAGATCCAGTGTTGTCAGAAAGTGGGTTTGCTTACATCTCCACGTGTTTGTAATCTATGTGAAATTTACTGCGAGAAAGGATAGTATAGATGGTTTTGAGTGGATTTCTAGAGAGGCAAGAATGGTCATAGCGTGAAAATATCTTATTATTTTCTTTTAAAATATCTTATTAATTTTTTATTATTAAAATGGGGGTGGAGGGAAATAATAAAAGTTGAAGTAGAATGTGTCCATGAAATGTAATTTATTTTAAATAATTATATTTATTGTGCTAACATCATGAACTTTACTACACATGACTAGTATATATAAACCAGGATTCAGTTCACGGAATCGATTCTTCTCCAATTAACTGAATCAGTGAATCAAAGGAACCATGCAACCCTAAACGCAAGATTTACAGAAGATACATTTATTCACTTGCAGTTGTTTTTTTTCACATTCCCTACATTGTCCCCAGGTACATTAGTGCAATGTACCTAGGACACACCATACACAAACAAATTATCTCAAAGAGAATCTTAATAGAATGTTTTTAAAAATATTACTATTATATATTATGAGCATATTATCTGAACATCTGAGTATATTATCATATGCTCAGATGTGTAGAATTCCAAAAAGATGAACATCAACAATTTTATATCCAAAAAAAGGGAGAAAAAAATTAAAACATGAAAAGTGTCCCTAGGTATGACAGTTTCCCCAAAATATTAACAACATGAGAGAGATGGGAAAAAAATTACAATTGTGTAATTTTTTTAAAACACAAAAGCATAGAGGAAAGTGTTGTTTATGTCATCAGTTACCCAAAAAATCAAACCTAACCCTACCAAAAGTTTAAAAGACAAAATTTGGAGCCATTCCTGAAAAATTCATTTTTTAATGTTTTTTAATATAGCACATATTTCATGCAATATTGTGCAAAGACTATTAAAATGTTCAAAACATGTGCATGAAAGAAATAATGAAGAATATATTTTAAAAAATCTGCATCTTCAATGTTGCAATTTTAGGGAGACTCCGCAAAAATTTCATACTTTTCCAATTTTTGAAAGTATAGTTAACAGTGAAAATCAAACCTATGCCACCTTTATGAGAGTATTTCACTCTATTCTTGCCAGACATTTAACGAAAAAATTAGGATCCACTTTTGAGAAAATTTTGAAATTGTCCATAGGGATTCATGTAAAGTAGCTCCAAAATTTAAAGAATGTTTTTCAAAATTGTTGAACTTTGGACAGACAGTTAGGAGGACAGTCGGGACAGACGTTTCAAAGCCAGTGAAGCTACAACAGAACATATTTTCTCACATTATTTCTAACTTTTGCATTTTTCTAAAATTCAGAGTTAAAAATGATACTGGTGCCATATTAAGTGACCTTTCCTCTATCCACATACAAAAATTTAAATAGAAAATTTTGAACCTTTGTGAGAAAATGATATTTTTTATAACTTACTTCAACTTCAAGCAGAAATTAAGCAAAAAAATACGTGTTCTTCAAAATATTGCACCTGACCATTTTAAAGATTTCATTTAAGACAAAGATTCCTCTTATTCAGTTACGTAATTTTGCAATGATGTTTTTTTGCAATTTTTAAAAATACAGATTTCGCCGAAAATAAGTCCTGTACCATCTCTTTATCCACAGGAGTAAATTTACACAAACAAAATGGAAACTGATTACGGGAAAATAATTGTTTAAAAATTCCCTATATTTCAAACAAAATTATGCGAAAAATACTCATATTTCCAAAAATTGTCCAAAAAATTATTTACAATCTGTTTTTTCAAAAGTTAAAGATTTCAATAAAAATGGGAAGTTTACCATTTAAAATAAAGCTTTTTTGCGCTATCTGAGAAGAAAATGTTTGATTAAAAAATTTGAAGCCGTTTTTGATAAAGTTTTGAAAATGATGTTGAGGATTCATGTAAAAGAATACCCAAAAATCAAAATATCTTGGGCATTAGTGTTGATCACGAACCAACAGACGCCGGATGTTTTGCAGTCAAACAATTTTTCAGTATGAAGGACTCACAAAACATGGTTTCTGACTACACAATGTACTAGAGGATTTAATATAGTACACATAGAATCAAGATCTAAGGTACACACAGAGAGTATTATAGGCCCATTTGTTTACACTGGCCTCTCCCTCAGACTTAACCACAGGCAAATAGCAGCTAAGCATGGTTTTAGATGAAAATTCGAACCGACGCAAGTCATTGTACACCCTGGCCAGAAGTATACAATGCCTTGGAGATCCCGGCTAAATCGACATCTGGTATTCAGGAATGAAAAAACTTGCTCATATGTTTCTTTTAGAATGTCTACATCTATTGTAGAAATAAAATTTGTTGAGTATTTGAGAAACAAATGAAGTTGAGAAACAAATTTGAGTTGACCAGAAATTAGTGTATGATGTATCATATGATGGGCTGTAACGGGTTAAATATCAATGGTCTACTGGCACTAGGGATGTACAACGACGGTGATCAGCGCAAAGCTATAGGAGCTCAATTGTAAAGGCTCAATTGTAGGTTCAACTAAATCCACTATCAATTAGTAAAATAAACTAAAAAGAGTGATTTATTATAAAGAACATAATACATTAAGCACAAAATTAGTTTGTAAAAACTAATAAATGAGGAAAGGCTATAATAAAAACATAACCGACAGAGGGCCTCCCTTAAAATAGTTTAATACCCATCTGCCTTCTACTGTGGTAGAGGATTGGAAGCAGTGGCGAAACGTTCGGGTTCGCTATGCGTGCCTGCCCAGGTAAAATAGGGCCTATTTTTAGAGTATATTTTAATTACTTCAGGTACTAACAATACTAGTGTTTTCTATGCACTTTTATAAAGGGGGCCCAGATAAATGTTTTGTGGGTTGCGGCACTCATTGTTACGCTATAGATAGGAAGATGCCCATACATGCAGTTAGGTGAGATTTCTGCAAACACAATGAACATTATCTTCGATATACACACTAGATACTAGATTTCAAGAATGCAGTGTCTAAATGATAATTATGTATGTAACTCAAGATGAAGGAAGCTGATAGCAGCGTCACACTGCGTTACTTAGGGATAGAGGGTGAAGTTTAGTGGCATTAAGCTGATAATTATTTTTACAAAAGTTTTCAACATTTGCTGAAATAATTCCTCTAATTCAGTCTTATACTTAATCATTAAAATATTAATAAATTAAATTTAAAAAATATAAATTAAAAAAGTTTTGATATAAATTGTTATAACAAATGGAAATAATTCTTTGCAAAATGGTAAATTAATTAATTAATTAGATTTTGAAGAAAATATTCAAAGCTGATCTACAACGTATTCTAGAATCCAATTAAATTGGACCAATAAGCTCTGAGTCATCCACAATCGAGTGTAAACTGCTGGTTGCAAGAAATTTTCTCACCTATTCGTCCTTCCTTCACTCAAAAATTGTGCAAACAAAGTTAATCTAAATTGTTTATAATTTACTTAGTTATATAATTTATTTTTACTTATTGGAAACGAGGGGAGGGAGCTTTCAGAAGTGTTACATAATTAGTTAAAGAGGTTCAAATGCGTGTAACATACTAATGTGTTTCAGCAGTTGTTGGCAGAACGAGATTGAATGCAAAACCGTGTCAAGTGGAACTCAAATTCAGAGAGGAAAACAAAAATCACAATGTGAAGTCCCACTCAGCATAAGGGTGCAAAGGGTTAAGAGTATTCTAGAAGGATAAGGAAAATATGGCATGTTCCTTATCAGTAAACCAAGATGCACCTCACTCGCACTGATGGAACTACACTTGGCCCAAACTCCGGACTGGAAGAGATCTAACTACGAACCCTGAACATACACAGAAGAATTGACTTGATTTCTGTTTGTAGAATTTTAGATATAAAATTGAATTTTGAACAACCATTGGCCAAAATATGTTAAATTGATATACACAGGAATTTTTCTGTATTTTATAAATTTCATAAATCCCAAATCCAAGTTGAAGGTAATACAGAGAATTTGTGTGTGTTTATATTAGTTCCTTCCGAATACTACATACATGTAGTATTACAATACTGTAGCACACATGGATAATACATCTCTGCTTTTTTTTAGTCATCAATTTTAACATTTACAAATTAACAATATTGAAATCTTTTAAATGGCAAGCTGTTGAAGACTTAAATTTTTGCATTTTAAGTAGTTTCAAAGGAATAGAAGTTATACTCGAAGGCTGGCTACAGCAACTATCCTGTATTTTTAAATTTTCAAATTTAAATTTCACTCCTTCTGTGTGGTTCTTATCTTATGGGGTTTCCAAGGCTATTCCTGTCTCTTTTGCTATTTTTTTATCATATCACAATTTTCATTCATCATCTGTCATTGTGAGCATGAACACCAAACATCCTGGCAATTAAAAAAATCTGCCACAGGAGCCTTATAACAAACGTGATTACACAAAGCTACAGCAAAGTGAATTCTCTTTTAAGCAATGAACGAGTCATCAATATGAACAACCTAAATAAAAGAAATAAAAGAATAAAAAGAAAGTAAGTTTGTAAGGTATTTTTCCTGAACCCAATAATAGGCATTTTCTGTTTCCAATTTTAATTCTTGTAAAAGTATTTGTTGCAATTACATAATTAACAGTGTTGATTCTCTTAACCAATTTTCAACAAACAAAAATCATATCATGTAATGCATATAAAGTATGCAATTAATCAAACAAAAGTTTGAAAACAGGCAGTATAACATTTTATATAATTAGATACTAAAAAATTTAAATTACACTATGCACAGAATTATGCAAATTTGTACTTTTTCTCATCAAAAGAAATAAATTATAGATTATAAATTAATTAGAAATTTACTATATTTTGCTTAAATGAGTTCATGACATATTTCTTAAAATGCAGTGAACAAAAACAATAAAAAATATTCAATTTTTTTTTAATTCCCCCCCCCCCCTCTCTTTGGACGGAATAGTAAGAGTAAAGCACTAATTGGACGGAATAACTATGAACCAAATTTATAATATAAAATGCATTAAAACATAAATCTAGTGAAAAATAAATCTTGCAGAAATCTTTACCAAGGAACAATCATTTCTTTTAGATTATAAAATGATCTTTTTAGTCCTGGACCTCAAGCTTGTACCGGTGCATGACACAGAGGGCAGCTTTGACGAACATTAACATCCTGATCAGCAGCACAATGTTTGCACATATTGCATGTCCACACAGATGACATGTCCATAAGTGGGCGTCCAGTAGCCACACAAATTGGAAAACGTGTTCCACAACTTGGACACACACTGCATCTGAAAGAAGTCATGAAAACTTTAAACAGATTCATACATATTCACTTTTATACACTTTTACACTTTTATCTCTAGAATTATTTATGTCCAACATACAATCATTTGAAATAATTGTTATAAAATAATTTTAGCCTTTTGAAAAATTGATAAACAAAAATATAATAAACCAAATGAGACTGGAGAGGGGGAGGGACATATTCACAGTCATATTGAAGGCAGTGAGTAAGGCTCAAAACACTCCTCTTTCCAGTTTATATTTATGCAAGTAGAAAAAGATTTTCATTAAGTAAAATAGTATTGTACAACATTAGGCGAAAAATTTAAATATTTTTCCACTAGGTAGCAACATTTTATTGAACATTACCTTCATTTAGAAATAAGTTAACTGATTTTTCAATACTCATAGAACTGCAATGCAAGTGAAATGGAAAGATTTCAAGTTTTTCAAAGTGCAATTAACAATACAAAGGAGACTGTTTTGAATAACTGAAATGTTAAAATTTAGAATTTATAATTACAGCATGAAGGAAAATACATGAAATTGAACAGTGTACCCGTAAAAACAAACAAAAAACTACTTATTACTTAAACCTTTTTGGGTTTAAATTAATTTTTAAAAACTAATTAATGGGATTGAAAGAAGATTTTAAAACACTTGTAAATAAAATGTTGGCCCAGTAAATAAAATGTTGGCCCATTACTATATTCAACAGAAGTTTACCTATCGGGAGTCTATGCATTAAGTGTACTTAATTTGCTGAAACCCAGGAAAACTAGGCTGCGGTCTCCAAATTATTTTTGAAATGTGAAAGAAATTATGCATTGGACATACTCAAGGATGTTTTAAGTTACATGCTTTTAGAGGGTTGCTATTTATTTCTTGGGACCAATTTCCCTGATTATTCTCAGTTTACCAGAGGTTTGTAGTACCAAAGAGTTTCTTGGTTTTCACTACATAACATGAAAAGCTTAATTTGTACAAAAGCTTGGTTTATTTTCCTAGCACCTGCTCAGTACTGCCCAATTTATGACTTCTGCACCGTTATGCACCCTCTTTAACTTTCTGTACACCACAATTGTGTCGCTTTCCAGCTTTTTGCACCTTCTGGTTTCTGTATTAATATATTCAATTTGTACTTTTAATTTTGGTTATGCTTATTAGATTTTGGTTCAAGTTTTTCCTTTGATTTTGATATGTTTTTTGGCTTTAGTTTCATTTTGACTTTTGGTTTTGGTATGTGTTTGAAATATGGTGGACTCCTCTCCAACTGACAAAGAATTATTGGATATTCCAATCCGAAGTGAAACTGAAGAAGATTTCTTTTCTTTGGAGTCAGAAACATCTTCAGATGACAGGTGTCGCTTCTGTTGCACCTAGACAATTTTCTGCTAGATATAATTTTATTTCATCATCAGAACCGGAGAATGAAGACAATGAATGTGAGGATGAACCCTCTAAAAAAAAAGAAAAAAGGTTCGTTTGCATGGTCTACTAAAGAATTTCAGTTATTTATTCAGGCATTTGATGATTTTAATCCAGACAGCCTGTACAATTTGAATGATAGTAGTTCTGCTTTAGATTTGTTTTAATTGTTTCTTTTTTAAAGCATTGGTGAATTTATGGATAAACAAAGTAATAAATATCACCATTCTCTGTCGCAAACACTACCCCAAATAAAAAACTGGAAAGTGGAAAGACAGTTCATTTGATGAAAAACATTTTGCTTCATCACTCTTTGGTTGTTGACGTCACAGGTAAAGAAATTAAGTATTTATCAATACTGTATAAAGGACTTCTTTATGTGGACACCACAACTCAGAGCAATAATTTCCTGAGACAGATGTTTGCTATTGATTTAAATGCTGCATTTCTGCAACAATAGAGGAGATGGTTACTTAAAATCTGAAAAATTATAGTGTTCGACAATATTTACAAGATGAATTATAACCATTTGAAAATCTTTGTATCGATAAGAGTCTGCTTCTCTTTAAAGGTCATGTACATTTGAAGCAATGTAGTCCAAATATAGCTGATTCGGAATAAAATATTTGTACTTTGTGAACAGAATTTGTCCTGGATTTTATTGCATACACAGGAGCTGTGTGTGATATTCAAAATTTCAATTTACATAAGTCAGGTGGCACTGTGGCTACATTGTTGCAAAATTATTAGCATAAAAGCCTCACATGTGGAAAACTGTCACTCGAGCCCTTCATTGTTCACATAGCTTCATGAAAAAGGTACAAATGCTACCAGAACTGTCCACAAAACAAGAAAAGATATGCCAAAATTAGACGAGAAATTAAAGAAGCAAATTTCAAGGTCAGTCAACAGATAACCTAACAGTACTGAAATGGTGTGACAAGAGAGAGGTTTGTACACTGTCAATCTGCAATACAGCTGAGATGTAAGAACGTAAGAAGAGCGATTGTCTGGGTAGAGAAATGATTTTAAGGTCACTGTTTTTTTGCAATATAACAAAAGCATGGGAGTACTGGTCTGGACTAATATGGAGCATGGTACTAAGTTCTATTGAATCTGTTTGTAAATCTTGAAATGGTACAGAAAGCTTTTCCTTAACATTCTTGATCTGTCTTATCAAAGTCCATGCTCATCAGAGTAATAAAAATAAAAGAGGTAAAAATGGCCAAATTTCACCACACTTTAACTTGATGCATCAAGTGCTTGAAGAAGAAAGAACAATGATCTTGTTATATGTGTGAAGATTGTGATGTAGGTTTGTGTGCACCCACGTTTTGAAATTTACCACATCCAGAAGAACATTTGAAAGTACTTTGTAAGCAATATAAGATTACAAAAATGAAAAACACAATGAAATTAAAATTAATTAACATTCTAAAAAAAGCAAACAACAACAAATAAAACAAACGCTTTTAACATCACCAGTACCCGTCTAACACCTAGATCAAAAAGGATGGAAAGCGTGTACTGAGCACAGCCTCTCTGCACTTGCGAGACACATGCCCAGAAACTTCATAGCTGAAGTGCTGTGCAGCCTCGCTGAACACTGCACAAGGGGGACAACAGCACAGCTCAGCACAGCAGTCAAGGGTTAAATATTTAAATGTAACTTACATGTCAGGAATCATTGTTTCACAGGTTGTACATTCAGAGCGATTACTTCGTGAATCCTTTGGACTGTATTTTGTAAAAACATCCATTGCTAGAGACTCATAAGCTGTTCTCTTGGCCTCCGGTACCTACAAATAAAGAGGTAATAGAATATCAAAGCATACAATTAACAAACAGAACTACATTCTGTCAGTGTTATAAAAAATAAAAAAAAAAGAAATCATGAAAATTATTCTGAATATGAACAATTTCTTTCTCAGAGGTAGAATTTCATAGATACAAATGCAGGATCATTAGAAGAAAGTAAATTAGGTACTAAAATATGCAACTCACCTTCTCAAGGGACTCTAGTTTGATAAATGCTTTAGAACAAGTACCAAATGCTCTGTTAGCACAGCTGGCCAAAGCCAAAATGCAATAAATATCTTCTGGTTCCAATATATCTTCATATTCTCTCAGATGAAGTGCTGTTTTCATGGCTGCATCTACATAACCTTCAGGAAAAAAAGAAGCTAAATATAATTACAAGTAAAAGCAATGAAAATCCAAATCATTCAACTTTGGGTAAGTGAATTAGTATATCCTAAATACTAACTAATACCAGCATAATATTTTTATTACAATTTGTCACACTTATCACAATTATGTAGAAAATAAATACATTCTATCTATACTGTAAAATGGACATTTTTTCCCTGTGATGCCTAGTTTTGTTTAACCCTCATCCACTCACCACCTGTACCTTGTTCTACCCTCCTTGCTTCGCCCTGCTCAGCAATGCTCAGCCCTGCTCAGCCCAACGCCCTGCTCAGCCCAACACATCTCCATCAAGAAATAACTTTTAACTTGAATAATTCCTAGCCTAATTCTGGTATTAGAATTAATCAAAATGTCTTCAGAAGGCACTTTGATAGGCGTTCAGAAAATGATCATGAACTTTGATCAATTTCCATGCAGAGTTCGAGCTATTCATACAAACAACGAAAGGGGGTGAACTTAATGTCTGTTTTAAGGGGGATGAGAAACATGGATAAAGGTGGTGTTTTTTTCAAAATTTCACTTTCCTCTGGTTTTGTAAGTCAAGTGTCCAAATTTTAATAAGTTGGGAATAAAATTAATTTTTACAAAAATAGATAATAATTTTTTATATAATGCAAAATTATGAGAAGTAAAAAGTAACCTGAATTATTCCTGAAAAAATACTTAATTTTACTTTACAGAAAGTTTAGCCTTTTCTGAAATAAGCCAGAGCCAGACAAGAAATTGTAAAAATAATAATAAATAATAATTTAATAATAAAATAATAACTAATAAAAATTTTTGTAGCTATTAACATATCTAGTAAAGTTACGAATCTTATTATTGCAGAGGACAAATGTTAAAAATTGAGGCGAAGAGTAGTGGAGTCAAGATTTTTAATAACGACCAGTCAGTAATAACATTGTAACATTTTGTGATATGTTCAGCATTTTATCAGTCACCGTAAAATCTTGCTACTTAAGCGAAAATTTACATTAATGCAATAGTAAACATATGAATTATTTTCCTGCAGCACGTTAGTACAATATTGTGAGGTGGTGCTGACGATATAACTAGTATATAAACATGGCATTCATATACCATGATTTGAGATAGATGAATGCAAATAATTCCCCTGAACCCAAAGATACCTAAAGAAACGATGTTCAGTGAGGAAGTTGGCGCACTGACTTCCAGTAGTGATGCATTCGCATGGTCAGTATATATGATTACCTTTTTTTTGATGGAATGCAAGGAAAATGAGATTAATTTACCAAATAATCATTTAATCAACTATTAATAATATTACAATTAACAATAATTATACCAAAACCAATGTGAATTACTTTTATTCTTAATTGCTTGAAAATGATTTGATTTGTAAATCGCCACTATTTTTTCTTAACTAATATTTGATTTGCAATGAATCAAGGGTTATTAACATTGCTAAGGATGTTAAATTTCTTAAAGCAAATAAAAGTTTGTTCCAAATGTTTAATTAATGTCAATTGTATAATAACAATTGACACTTCAATTGTATAATAACAATTGACACTTCAATTGTATAATAACAATTGACACTTCAATTGTATAACAACAATTGACACTTCAATTGTAATTTTACAGAAAATTAAAATTCCAATATCATCCAGAAAATCACATCAAGTAATAACTAATAACTATCACTACGAATCACAGTATCAACTGCTGCAAGATATTTTAGATACTGCCAAGCTCTAAACAGGAATTGAAAATTGTGAGGCCAAATTGAAAAAAGTTGCTATTATATTGGATTACAAAGGATATGAAACATATATTAACAATCTCATCACGGATCTGACACTAAATGATATAGGTACATAATCCCTTATACCTTCATATAACTGTCGTTGAGCCAACATATAGAAGTGAAAAGCTTCAGCTCCTCTCCAGGCATTGTCAATAACTTGTGCATCCACCTCGTAGCCTGCGTCTGACTCTAACAAACCCATGAGAGCTTTGCTACGTTCACCTAAAGTGACAGACATTTAAATATAAACACATTATCAATATAACTAATATTCTGCAATTTTGCAACACATTCCAATGTTAAAAAATACAAAATGAAAAACCCATTCATGTAAATTGAAAATTGTATTAGAAGTTCAAGGATGAAATTACTAACCAACTCCAAGAGTTTGTTGTTTCATCTGTTGTTGGTGTTCTTCTACAAGCAGTGCTGCCAAAACATACAACTTCTTCATTTTTAATAACTTGTTTGTCTTTCTTCCCTCTGATTTTGCTAACTAGAAAACAATAATAATGGAATTTTTATGCTAACATTAAGGCAAACAATTCCTCTACAAGTAAAAGTATACACTATATAATATAAACCCTAACTATAACCATAATTAATTACTTTAAATTCAGCCTTTTTGGTAAAAGGTATGTAAATATATTTGTCCATGAATAGATTAACTGAGCAACACAAAAAATTATACCTGAATTAAGGTACAATCATTTTATTGGGCAGAAAAAACATGCAAAAATCTGTACAGCTTTTGAGTGTAGATTTTTAATGAAACAAAAAGTTATTTGTACGAGGATATAGGGTAAATGTTACCCACTTTTTGTCAAGAGCATCAAGAAACCATTTTATTTTTAAATAAAGAACTACAGGTATAAATTAAAGCATTTTACCTCAAAAAGGAGTTTGGCTGCATCCAAAAAGTGATTAGCTTTGCGATATAATTCCACAGCTTCCAAAATCTTGCCTTTTGACATGAGATATTCTGCATACTTAGAGAGAAGATTTCCAATCTCTGGTAATTTGTACTGTTTTGCTAGATCAACAGCTTGGTCCCATTGATTAAGATTTACACAAGTATCCACGGCTAGTTTTACTTGGCCACCCTGTGAATGAAGCACAACATTCCACACAATAAAAGTATTTTTATGGGAAAGAGAGAACCAAAGAATGCAATAGAAATTTCATACCTTAATATAAGCAGTAACTGCTTGAGAACACATTCCAACAGATGCAAACATCTCACCTATTGTCAATAAATGATTGTCTCTCTCTGGTAGTGTGTTAACAGTGGCTTCCAAAGCATCATAATCTTCAAGGATATAAAAACACTTTATTGTCTGGCCCAAATTACGTCCTTTCTCATAATATTCTCTAGCAGCTTCCCTAAAAACACAAGTGTGTCTCCATTTTCGCAGTCATACATTCCAAAAATGTTTAAAATAAGAAAACTGTCAACAAGAAAAACTAACCAATTTTGTCTATCTGAGAAGTAACTTCCAATAGAATTCCAAGCAACTTCCATTTGACTATCAGATCCTCCAGATCCCATTTTCATTAGCTGAATTACTCGAAACCAATCACCTAGTTTTTCACGCAGAGAAATGGCTAGGTCTCTGTAATACAAACAACATATGAAGATTGGAACTTACTTATTAACAAAATTACTACAAAAATAACACCAAGTTGTGTAGAATACCATTGATTCGTAATTGAATTAATCAATGATAAAATCAAATAGTTAATTACTATTTACAGATATTAACTGACGTATTTCAGCTTTACCCAGGCATTTGTCAATTAGTTTCTATTAGACAAGATATGGAATTAATTCTATTTACAGTAGAAAAATTTAGTAATTTAATTTTCATATTTGCCATCCTCGAGATGCCCCAACTCACAATCAGCACTTTCTACTCTGCCCCAAGAACTTATTTACCCCCCACATTACTCCTCCCTTATTTTCACTTCTGACCTTAAATTACTCAAAGCCAAATTGTGTTACTAGAAAGAAACACAACATATCAAAAGGAAATTTAATGAGCATTCAGAAAATTTCTCCTTGCTTTGACCTATCATCTACAAAACACCAAACCTACCTCATCATCTTCAAAACACTAAAAATGAAAAGCTAGTGGCCTTAAAATCTGCTTGAAGAAGTGGGAAAAGGGAAATGGGGTAGTTTTTCAAAATCTTAAGTACACAGCAACTTTCCCTTTGTTTTGGAGGTCAAGAAGTCAAAATTTCGTTAAATCTGAATAAAACTAGATAAGTGAACCCAACAAACTAATAAATATTCTTTATATAATACTTGTAAGAAATAGCAAAATTTGATTTACCTTCTGTCTACTTCTAGATACAGTTTTTCAGCCTCATTGAAGTTTTTAAAATATGCTGCCACTTCAGCAGCTTTTAAGGTGTCATTATAAATATTCTGAAGCTTTTTAACAAGTTGAATTCCAGGATAGTCATTGCAACGAACAAAAGCAGCTTCTGCAGCATTAAGATCCAATTGCCGTACAGCAGCTTCAGCCAAAAGTCGCCTATACATAAATTTGATGGAAATATAAAACATTTGCTTTTATGAACTAAATATGATGAATCATTGGTTAAGAATATACCATAATCTAGGGTGAGGATTCTCTTCTATAAATGTAGTAGCTTCCACAATTCCTACTTTCTCTAATAAATTCCTTGTGTCTCTTAACGATTTCACTTCTAAATCTAAAACATATTCATTGACGGGATTATCAGGGTTTTGAACTAAATCATCAAGAAGGACTGCTCGTATTTCCAAATCCTGCAAGTAAGAATCAAAAGCATACATAGTTTTTGTATACTCATTGTAATATCAAGATTGCTTCTCAGAAACAAATTTGTGTAGTAAAAAGTATTTCACTGAGCTGATTAATCCAATGACCTTCATAAATAGCAATATGACTAGTACATATAAGAATAAGACCATGCTTCTTATGCACATGAACTTCATGGCTTTCAAATACATATTCAAAGGACGCAAATAATGATGTTTCCTCTTTACATACATATATATATTAAAAGTTAAGAATGATAAGGTTCCAAATCAAAATTTTCATTTTTCTCTTGCAAGCATTTAATTTGCATACTATTATTACTCTACTATTATTCTATTATTTGTTGCATTTTGTTTAATGGATTCATAAATAAATAGTTTAATGTTTTTCTACAAAAAAAACAAAAAAACATTTACCTTAAACTGGCAGATGTATCCTGAACTCTGAATAGGTTCTTCGGGTTCCAAATCCCTCAGCACATACATGCGTGTTTTTTCCATAATGGCCAGCAATTCAGGGTTGTCACTAGCCCAACACATAGCCCAAACATCCTTCCGCTCAAATTTTGATAAATCCTTTGAGGGAGTAATGGTTTGACCAAGAGTATCACCCGCTCCATATGCTGAAGAAGGCGGCTCTAAGTCAAGAAAAGTCAGAACTCCTGTCATATCAATTACAGATAGGCGACTAGAACAAAAACATGTCATAAAATATAATAAACATTCATTCTTTTAGTATTTACTGCATCGTATTTTATTTCCAAGTCTCCTACCTTCCATTGCTATTAATAGCTAATTTATAAGGGCGACAATTTAATGGATATCGGTTAGTTAAAGCTACTTGTGGAAGTGAGTAACGTTGTAACATCCCTGACTCACGACCTATTATTAAGATCTTTTCAGATGCAGTCATGCAACATATTGGATCAGCAGTAGGCTGCATATTGGTGGAGGGCTGCAAAGGTAAACACAATAAATATAGAAACTAATTTTTATATACATCAAAGATTTTGCCGTTTGGATACAAAAAATACACAAAATACTGTTAAGATGGTCGCTTAGTTTGGAAATAAAGAAATAACTCTAGGCAGAAATTGCATAATTAATTTGCTGACCTCATATGATCGATCTAAATCTTGAATAACTTCAGCAACGCCAGATGGTGTGTCATCTACATGATAAAGTCTCTCCTTTCGTTGTCGAGATCCTAAAACAATAAAATCTCAACTTATTTTTGAAGTGTGTGTATTTCTACACATTCTACACACACTTTTTACACAACAATAAACTTCGTAACGCCTCATTACCTGCTAATACAAAGGTTGAACGTGACTTTGGAGTTCTGTAGTGCCATAACAAGAAATTATCTTGTGAAGCAGCAAATACATGGGTAGAGTTCATTGCTATCCACATTGGCTGTATGTCCATATATTTAGCTAAAAATTAAAAAGTTTCATTTTGTTTAATTTAAAAAATATTGAAATAAAATAAAAATATTGAAATTACTATACTGCATTTGTAGTTTGTTTTCAATTTTTTATTACATTCTTTTATTCTACATAAATAAAGAGAATTATTGAAAAGTTTTCAAAAAATTGATAGAATTTTTTTAATTTGTTACTAGCCCTTCTCTAAGTAACCTATGTAATGTCTGTCTGCAAATATTTTATTCTTTTACTTTGCAATAACTAATATTCTAATAATTTGAATCTTAATTACTCTTTTCCATGAGAAGTGATATTTACTCATACAAATATGTATTCTGTGTCATTTTTAATCCTACAGCTGAAATTATTCATGGATCTAATAAACTATGCACCAACATATAAGCTCATATCTTTAAAAGCTTCAACAGTACCAAATGCACAGATTTTAATATCCTACACACTGATAAACTAATACACAATATTATTTTTATTACTGCATTGAATTCAAGAATTACAAATAGCTTTTTCTTGAGAAAAAAATATTAAGTGCCCTCTCAAAACTGCTTGTTTGATAATATTGTTCTCAAAAGAAATAAATATGTTTATTCTTGTTACTCAGATACTCTGAAAGAAGGAAGTCAAAAGAGGGCAGAAATAAAAACCTATTAGTTTCTTGTATGCAACATTCAAAAAATATCATTGACGAACAGACACTGGTTACCCAAATACAGATCTTGGTCTTTGAAACAAAAAATCTGATACAATATCAAACTACTATGAATCTTTACAATAATTTTATTTATGGTAAAATCACATAATTACTATAATATTTAGTAAATATAATTTGCAGGAACACAAACCATTTGCTCCATTGACTTTAATTTGAAGATAGTATATTCAAATTTTCAATAAAGCCTAATCAGCAGAATGAAGAAAGACCAATACTCTAAAGTACCGTAAAATATTAGAACTAAAACTCACTGTCAACTGGTGTTCCAATTGCATTACACAGCATAAGACCATATTGATCTTCAGTCTTTGTGGCTAGCACACAATGCTCTCCACACGAAGCAACACCAAGTAATAATTTTACACATTTGTGATAACACTGTAGAGAAAAAAGGTTGTTTTCACACCTTTAGATTTTAAGATGGTTCAAAATCGCTATATGAAAACTAACCAATTATACATCAATAAATACAATTATACAAAAATAAAATCAATTGACACAAGTAGCCAAGGCCACCAACAAAAACACTTTAATCACATAAACCTGAAAAACTACAGGTTCACATACTGTATTCAGAATAAATGTTTGTATTGTTTGTAAAGGTATTACATGTACTTTGATATGTTCCACAAAAGAAGAAAAAATTGTTAGAAACTGTGCAATCAGGCACCAAGCCTCTCTTTCTCCATATAAATTTCAATGACTACTTAAAAAATTGGCACTTGGATAGGTATAATTTTGAAAGAGAGAGAGAAAGAGAGAGAAAGAGAGAGAGAAAGAGAGAGAGAGAGAAAGAGAA